AAATAAAATCTAGGGGCAGCTGGTTGGCTCAGTTGGTACAGCATGCAACTCTCGATCCTGAGGTCTTGAGTTCAAGCCCCATGTTGGGCATAGAGCCTACTTTAATAAAATAAATAAAATAAAATAAAATAAAATCTAAAAGTGTTATTTGCCTGTCACAAATGCTAAAGAACTCACTTTAAAAACATGAGACAAATGATTTTGAGGGTCAGAAGTGAACTTAAAATCTTATGTTAACACTGAACTGTAGTGGGGCGCCTGGGTGGCTCAGTTGGTTAAGCGACTGCCTTCGGCTCAGGTCATGATCCTGGAGTCCCAGGATCGAGTCCCACATCGGGCTTCCTGCTCAGTGGGGAGTCTGCTTCTCCCTCTGACCCTCTTCCCTCTCGTGCTTTCTATCTCTCATTCTCTCTCTCTCTGAAATAAATAAATAAAATCTTTAAAAAAAAACAACACTGAACTGTAGACTTAAAATTGGTTAAAATGGTTTTATGTTAAATTTTTTTTAAATCATATGTAAGTTCTCTGAATCATGTTGGTTTCCCCTTAAAACAAATAAATTAAGCTACATTAAAGGATGAGAAATCACTAAATGGAATGTGCTTAAATTATACATGGTTAAAAAGCTTCAGTGATTTGAATTAACAGAAACTTTCTGACCTCTTAAGGAAGGTGTTTATTAGATATTCTCCATCTCAAAGGAGGGTATAAGCAATGAAAAAGTTTTAAATTGCAGTAAGAGAGATTTAGTTTTGACAAAATTCTAACTAGAAAAGTAATTAAACACTATAATAAGGTATCATGCAAATTTCTGCCCTCAGGGATGCAAGAATAAGCTGGCTTGGAAGGATTATCTACAATTCTTCAGGAAAAACTGGAATGAACTAGAGAATCTCTTAAGCCTGCTTCGTTTTAGAATTCCAGGTTCTATACTCACAGCCCAGTAGTGTCTCTGCAAGACATTCCACCTACAGAAAGTTATAGTAATCTACAAGTCATTTCAGTTGGCTTCAGATACTGGGTCTCTTCACCACACCATTTATTCACTTTATGTACTCACTTAGGAACTGAAAATTGACTACTTTTGTTAAGAGGCAGTCCCATCAATCTCCAGCAGCATGGCTGCCAGCTCAGAAATAAACACTACAAAAACGCTTAAACCGAAACATACTTCATCCCAAATTAAACAAATAGAAATATCTACATAATGCTCAATGAACTAAAGACTAGGGGGAAAAATCCTTTATAGGGTAGGTAATTTACAAAGTCAAAACATTCAATTTAGTCAGTTCTTCAACGGCTTCTTAAGTTGTTACTGGGGCGCCTGGGTGGCTCAGTTGTTAAGCGTCTGCCTTCAGCTCAGGTCAGGATACCAGGGTCCTGGGATCAAGCCCCACATCAGGCTCCCCGCTCGGCGGGAGGCCTGCCTCTCCCTCTCCCACTCCCCCTGCTTGTGTTCCCTCTCTTGCTGTCTCTGTGTCAAATAAATAAATAAAATATTTTTTAAAAAAAAAGTTATTTGTTACTGACAACAAAAAATACTTACTTTTGAAAACAAAAGCACAGTCTTTCCAAATCAAGTTTCATTTTAGAAAACTTATGGCTTTCATTTTAAAATAATGATTTTTAATTTACCATATTATTTTCTAACAGTTATCAAACACCTGAATGGTGGTTATTTATCAAAACCCACAGCAGGCACTTATGAAGTTACAGCAAAGTTAATCATCTCAAATTCAACAGGTTGGGTGCCTGGGTGGCTCAGCTGGTTAAGCGACTGCCTTCGGCTCAGGTCATGATCCTGGAGTCCCAGGATTGAGACCCGCATCGGGCTCCCTGCTCAGCAGGGAGTTTGCTTCTCCCTCTGACCCTCCCCCCTCCCTCTCATGTGCTCTCTCTCTCTCTCAAATAATCTTTAAAAAAAAAATAAAAAATAAATAAAAATCAACAGGTTAATCACAGCCATTTGAGATTTTGCCCACCTGTATTAGGACTATCTCAAGAGTTTGCAAAATTGGACATTAAATGACACTCGAAAACAATACATTTCTAGACTATATATCTCTTAACACACAAATGTTTTGACCAAGTACGCATGCATGACTGTATTTAACTAGTTTTTTTTTTCTAAGATGCAGAATTTATTTATAAAACATGTTACAGGAAATTCAATTCATAAAACAACCTTTTCAGACAGAGGTTATCAGAATTTTAAGATTCTTGACAATTATCAAATACCCTTTCAAGTTACTATAGTGCTAAACTTGCTTTTAGGTAGAATGAAATTCTCAGTACCAAGATACCAATTACTCCACTTTTATGTTAGGTGGACAAAGGGAAATTAAAACTAATTACTGTGTTTGTGTGAGTGGTACGATTTGTTGAAGGTCTGTGAACAAATAACATTCGACTGATAATTCAGAGAAAAAAAGTCTATCAAATGGATATATTTCTTTGGGGTGCATTAGCAAATATGTGATTGTTTTACAGAAAACTTTTGGCTAAAGCCACAGAAAGACCTATATTACAGTCTAAAAATATACTTCTATGGCTATTAATGATGATTTATTTAAAATAAAAATCTAATAAGACAAATTTAGCCAGGTCAAAATAGGAATCAAAATATAATACTGGAGCTAAATGCTTTCATGAGAAAGAAAAGAATACCAAGCCTCACTCCCTTCAGTTCACAAGTAAGTCTTCATTTTATAATCAAAAACAAAAAAATGACTTCTACAGCCAAAAAATTAGGTAATATGGCTCAAAGCTGAATTATCACTTAATTGCCTGGATTCCTAAGAAGCTACTAACTTCTAACTGCTTTAAAACCTGAACCCATCTTTTAACGGCTTATTGCTTTGCTTAGAAATGTTATCACACTTTGTTTCATACAGAAATGCTATCTCATTAGAATACATGCTGCTCCGTGCCTTTGAGCTTAATAATTTTTTATTAAGAAATTCAAATAAAATTTTTCTAATGCAACTATAATTTTTAAGTTTTTTTCTTATCCACACTGGGCCTCACCTTTCACACCTAAAAACAAACAATCTTAGATGTTAAACACACACACCTCAAACATATAAAATTCATTACACTGGTTTTGTAGCCATAATAATTATACTAATAAATACTGACTCCTCTAAAGAACTAAAAACTTATAGGGGCAGGGTTTAAATGGTACGACTCACAAGGGGGTGGGGAGAAATAATGATCCTCCCCTACCAAACTGGCAGCAACAATATGCCAAGTTTCCTATGCTGAACTAGTGTAAACAAGGAAGAAAAAGAGCTGGGGGTAGGAAGTAGGCGGGCAAGAGAATCCTCGTCAAGGTACAGCTTTACTTCTAAATTTCACTAGTGTAATACCTGTTCTCAGTGTTTTCAATAACCACTACCAAGGACTATTTAAACACCATAGGTTGGTGTTCAGAAAACTACTGTAGGCTGTAGTCCCTCTCTCAGATAATCCCAGACATAAAAGATAGAAGTGGGGATCACAAATGCTTCTTCAACTATAAAGACTATCTCCTGCATTGAATGCCTCAAAAAGTTTTCTAGACATCTAGAAATTCAATCCCACTCTTGCTATAACAATCAAGTTTAAAGATAAAATAATGGACCTACCAATGATGCTACAAAAAAAAATTTCACATCTCACCTTTGGTGTGACCACAGCTACAAGCAAGATGAGCATCATTCCAGACAGGACTAGAAGAGGAATGGGATAAAGACTAGGCTTACAGCCTCTTTTTTCTGGCATTGCCTGAGGCATCCAGTGGACGTGGAATAAAGGGGAAGCTGGTTGTGTAAGTGATGCCAAGAGAAACAAGATTCCACATGTCAGGGGACTGAATGCCCAAACACAGAGAGCAAAGGGCACTCACCCCTGGCTTTCTGACCAAAGAAAAATGAGTTGTTTCACCTGAAATCCTTTCAAAGGAAGTCTAATGGTCTCTAGTTTATCACTCACCCTAAGTGAACTCAACAGCCCCTCCTCAAAGAACAAGCCCTGCTTATCAAAAATAGCAAGTGCTACATCCAAAGCCAAGAAACACTCCTTTAGTCCAAGTGCCATGGTCTTCTGCCCCAATTCTACAAGGAGACTCCAAGCCAAAACACTTGATTCCCAGCCTAAGCCAAGTTCTCCATTTTCCCAAACATCCCAAACAACAGAGCTTTATTTCAGATAAGCTCCTCTCCATTCTGGCATTCTGGAGTCCAGGACTCCAGGCCCCTCCAAAAGTTCCGTCCTCCAAGATAATCTCCTTCCCTTCACTTTTCCTAAGGATTTTCCAGACCCTGCCCCAGGTCTAGCACTCTCCGTCCTCCGTTAGGAGATCTACTAGTAGATCCCACTCCTCCGTGGCACAACTCTTCGGAAAGTCATCTCTCTTACGGTACTCACTTGTCCTCCCCCATCACATTTTTTTCCTTTTTCCCTGTCCTCGAAAGAAACACACACACACACACACAGTATCTGTTCTCAACTCCTAACTCCCAAGTCTCTCCCGTGCCCCAGGTTCTTCCACAACACCAAATTCCATCCCGGAGTTCCCCCCTCATCCCTGTCTTCCTCAACCCCAACTCCATACCCCAAGCTTTTTTCCCCACTCCCCAAATTCAGATTTCCTGTGCTGGTTACTCTTAACCAACACCACAGCCCTCTTGCTCCCAGGTCTACCCCTATGCCTCGATACTCAAGTCTTTCTCCTCTTCCCACGTTTCTCGGCCCCTAATTCTCTGCAGAACCTCAGGAGCCCCTCCCCAATCTCCCTTCCGCCCCTCGTGCACTCCATGGCCCCCCACTCCCCTCGTAGGTCCTCTCTAGCCTTGCTCACCCCCCAAATTTCTCCCATGTCCCTGAGGCTCCCCCACACGCCCTCCACGCCCCGAGAAGGGGGTGCCCCTCAGTGCCCGCCCGGCCCGCCCTGCCGCCGGGCTCGGGTGTCCCTTCCCTTCCCCGCGGGCCCCAGTGCTGGCGCGGCGGGGCCGGCTCACCAGTTGGTCATGTCCAGGAAGAAGGCGCAGCCGGCCGGGTTGAGCTGGAAGCCGAGCAGCCGCTGGAACTCGGAGATGAGCACGTCCTTGTCGGTGGTGCCCAAGCAGCTGAACTTCTGCATCAGCTCGGGGTCCAGGTCCACGTCCATGCCCTCCATGGCTAGGGCCGGACGCCCGCTTCCCCGCCTCCTCAAAACCGAGCCGCCGCCGCCGCGCCGCCGGGCCCGGGGACCGGGAGGGGGCCCGCTGCTAGCTGGCGCCGCGACCCCGCTCCTTTGAGGTAGGCCCCGGGCCTCTCACCGCCTCATAGGGATAA